AATATATGAACCCATTGTGGCCCTCAAGTCAAAAAGTTTGCCCACCCCTGGGCTAGCCCCACAAGGGGTCTACGGATAAAGACTCTGTGGCTACACCAATGATTAGCCGATTCAAAAAGCTGCAAAATGAGTTCTAGCTCTGCAGTATCTGGAGTATTTTAACAGAAAAAACAAAAAAAAAAACAAAAACACAAACAATCTTGATAAAAGGGTAGAAGAATCAAATGATTTTGCCTCTCTCTGAGCAGAGATTATGTGCATTCTCCTTAACACTAACAAAAAACTGAAACATGGTGGAAGTGAGAGGGGTTATACCGGCTGATGCCTTTTTTTTTGCCTGCGTCCAATGCTCTGTTAGCAACACTAACTCTATAGGTCTCAAAATTCTTTGGACCCATTGCTTAATGAATAGGAAAAAAGCCTTCCTGATCCCCCAAAACTATCAGATATTCCCTGGATTAACAATCTCTGGCATTTTCACTTATGATTGGAAATCTCCACTTATAATTTAGAAATGCATCCAGCTGTATTCTAAGCATTTAGAAATGTATTCAACATTTTTTAAAAGAATAAATTGAGCTGGCTAGAACTATGCAACTCAAATGAATTTATGTAAAAGCTAAGAATCAGACCACCCATGGATTTAAGAGTACAAGACTGAGAGCAGAGACACTAAAGTTTCTCCTGAGGAAGAAAAACCTTTGTCTAGTACTAGTCCCAGATACTTCAAGAAATGAGTCACTTCTAGTGTGGATTTCTAAAGGTTCACCTGAATCCCTGCAAGACCTGTACAGTCAGGGCTATAAGACCTGTACAGTCAGGGCTATATTGTTCACTAAACACCTGTACCAACTGTTCCCTCAGTAGGAGGCCATCTGGTCAATGTGGGAAATGAGACCTCCAAAAGTCTGTCCACACTGTAGCTGAGGGCTAAAGCCTTTGTTCCAAACATTCTTTGCCCAAGGGATCAATTACAAAAGTGAACAAATCCCTTATAAAAGCCTTAGACCAGTCAGTTGGTGCCTCCAACAACTTGTCCACAGGGTACTTAAAGGCAGGTTTAATCTTCCACCGGGATTGCGGTTGCTTTGTTATGACAAGATACTGTTGAATCCGCAAAGGAAACAGACCACTTTTTACCAACTCCTTCACATTGATATGACTAATAGGGACATGGGGAGAACAAACAAAGTTTTTACACAGGTTTACATATACTTGAATGTTCATGTTATCTGGACTGTGAATTCAGTTGGTGTTGGGATGCATCAAGATTTTTAGCACACAGAGCAAGAGCTGCGCAGTTGACCTAGACTGTTGCATATTAATGATTGTGGTAGGTAGGATCCCAGAACTAAGTAGTATTAAAGCGGTTGTTGAGACATGAAATCTGAACAAAGCACATATTTTTATACTGTTTACTTGCCTCTCTCCAAAGCATCAAACCACGGATTGTAGGAAATAAAAATAGCTTGATTCCCCCATCAATACAGTCAGTGTTGATGGGAGAATGCCTCCCACAAAGCTATTGTGGGGTGGGTACGTGGATCTGTACCTGCCGAAAGAACACAGTGATTATGCTAGTGGCTATAGCAGCCGGCAATAACCACATGAAAAATCCAACAGGCTGGTTGTACCAAAGTCATTAAACAATCGAATTGAGTACCATCAGCTTGCCCATAAATGGTTTGAATCTCAGCCAGTCCCTGCTGAATCAGCTGAGATTTGAACCATTTATGGCCAGCTTAAGCATCATTTCTCTCTGCTGTCTAGTTCCTCTGTTATAAGCATGAGTCACGTATAACAAGTTTTGCTGACACGAAGAGCTAAAAAGGTGACAGGAGAGGAATATCCAGCCCATAGCTTGTGATTGGCAGCCTCAGCTCTGTTCCTGTGTGAAGAGGGGATGTCCCTTCCCTAGACTCAGCTCTCACAGTTGTTGTACAGGGTGTAACTGCAGCTCCCCGTCCCCTGCTTTGTGAGTCTGTGAAAATACTTTTCATTGAGTTTTACACGCATGTACAGGACAAATGGCTGAAAATAAACAGGTACAACTTGTGCACGAAGATTTGCTTCACCTCTGTGAGGCCAGTCACTTCACTGGGTATATGTATGGGGTTTACAACCACTTTAACCACTAGCCTACAGGGCACTTATACCCCCTATATCACAAAAATAGAACGAAAAAAAGCCACCTATAATGACACAAATACTAGTGTCATAATCTTATCTCCGACTCACTTAACATGTAAGTGTGGATCCATAAACCCAGGAAATGCATACTAAACAATATGGTAGTGTGACCAGAGCACCCCTACCCAAGAAAAGGAGGTTACTAAAAGATCCACGCGGAGTAATATGGGTTCAAAAATTACAGACAATATTTTATTTGATCACATAGATCATAGGGAGGTTAAACATGAGCACGGTGAACATGTCAAACAAATAAAATCATTTTAAAAGCACTTGGCGTCCTCATTTCTGGGTCATTTTGGCAAATAGAGTACCATATAAGGCAATGTGGAGTAATGGTGTGGTTTTGATCCTAGGTTTCCATAGATTTCTAGCTTGTATTAGAGTAAACCATATATTCATCAGGTATGTTCTTGATATAAGTCAGGATATGTAGAATAACCTCCTGGTATGTGGAAACTGGAACATAAAGATAAATAAATATATGTGATAATATAGGAGCTGAATCGCACCTAAACCACACCAAGCCACCCTATACAGTAGTCAGTGGACACTTTCATTACCTTCTCAGTAGTTAGGCTGTCATACCGACTCCTTAAGTGTGGAGACTTCCTGGGTAGCCACCCCAAGTGAAACAAAGTCCACAGTACCAAATGATTCTGGGGATATATATAAAAATTATAGTATAGATCACGAGCACCAAGTAAAACCCTGAAAACAAAAAACAAAAAATGTGGGTATATTACCATCAATAGAGATCAAGAAGACTCCTGTCGACTTGAAATAGGATCAGGTCCTTGATGCTTGTTCAAAATGCATATGAGGGTGGGGAGCCAGGTGGTCTCAATAGATAAATCCCAAGAACATATATTATGTATATAGCAGGCAGTGAATACCTGAGTCTATATACCCAATGAAGGGTTTCCAAAAATTACTCAATCTGAGAAAAATGAAGCGGTTCTTATAGGATATGGCTTTGTCACAGCATACAATGCCTATATGGGATAGCGTATATATGTATATATATTCTCCTCTAAAGAGGATTTCCAAAAAATTCCCCAAAGAAAGCAGGGTAAATCAGGCACATATAACATTCCCTCTTAACTCCATATATGCTCTATGAATCTAAACAGCAGTAGAAGATATATTCCCATAGAGGATTGCCGTTTGCGAACCGCTGTAATAGTAGCCTTATGGTAGTTTTCCGAGGGCCTCGTGCCTTCCTAGCAAGGAGCTGCTGTGACACCGCCGTTCCTTCCCACCTCGTGGGCCCCGCACCCTATGAAGACGCCGAGCGTAGTGACGTCATTACATTGACGCGTTTCGTCCGCCAATCACCGCAGACTTCGTCAGAACTGACGAAGTCTGCGGTGATTGGCGGACGAAACGCGTCCTCTATGGGAATATATCTTCCACCGGTGGCAAGTTACTTTAGCCTACTGCTGTTTAGATTCATAGAGCATATATGGAGTTAAGAGGGAATGTTATATGTGCCTGATTTACCCTGCTTTCTTTGGGGAATTTTTTTGGAAATCCTCTTTAGAGGAGAATATATATACATATATACGCTATCCCATATAGGCATTGTATGCTGTGACAAAGCCATATCCTATAAGAACCGCTTCATTTTTCTCAGATTGAGTAATTTTTGGAAACCCTTCATTGGGTATATAGACTCAGGTATTCACTGCCTGCTATATACATAATATATGTTCTTGGGATTTATCTATTGAGACCACCTGGCTCCCCACCCCATATGCATCTTTGAACAAGCATCAAGGACCTGATCCTATTTCAAGTCGACAGGAGTCTTCTTGATCTCTATTGATGGTAATATACCCACATTTTGTTTTTTGTTTTCAGGGTTTTACTTGGTGCTCGTGATCTATACTATAATTTTTATATATATCCCCAGAATCATTTGGTACTGTGGACTTTGTTTCACTTGGGGTGGCTACCCAGGAAGTCTCCACACTTAAGGAGTCGGTATGACAGCCTAACTACTGAGAAGGTAATGAAAGTGTCCACTGACTACTGTATAGGGTGGCTTGGTGTGGTTTAGGTGCGATTCAGCTCCTATATTATCACATATATTTATTTATCTTTATGTTCCAGTTTCCACATACCAGGAGGTTATTCTACATATCCTGACTTATATCAAGAACATACCTGATGAATATATGGTTTACTCTAATACAAGTTAGAAATCTATGGAAACCTAGGATCAAAACCACACCATCACTCCACATTGCCTTATATGGTACTCTATTTGCCAAAATGACCCAGAAATGAGGACGCCAAGTGCTTTTAAAATGATTTTATTTGTTTGAAATGTTCACCGTGCTTATGTTTAACCTCCCTATGATCTATGTGATCAAATAAAATATTGTCTGTAATTTTTGAACCCATATTACTCCGCGTGGATCTTTTAGTAACCTCCTTTTCTTGGGTAGGGGTGCTCTGGTCACACTACCATATTGTTTAGTACACTTATACCCCCTTCCTGCCAAGGCCAATTTCCAGCTTTCAGCTCTATCACACTTTGAAGGACAATTGCGTGGTCATGCAACACTGTACCCATATGAAATTTTTATCATTTTTTTGTGACAGATAGAGCTTTATTTTGGTGGTATTTAATCACCTCTGGGTTTTATATTTTTTCCTAAACAAACCAAAAACCACTTAAAATTTTGAAAAAAAAAAAAAAAGTTTTTTCTTAGTTTTTGTTATAAAATTTTGTAAATAAGTGATTTTTCTCCTTCACTGACATGCGCTAATGAGGCTGCACTGATGGACACTGATAGGTGGCACTGATGAGGAGGCACTTGTAGGTGGTACTGATGGGCACTGACAGGCATCTCTGATGGGCACTGAAAGGCAGCACTCATATGGCACTGATAGGCGGCACTGATGCACACTGATGGGCAGCACTGAAAGGTGACACTGACTGCACTGATGGGTGACACTGAAAGGCAGCTCAGATGGGCACTGATATGTGGCATTGATGTGGCACTGAAATGTGGCACTGATGGGCACTGGCAGGTGGCATGTATGAGTACTGAGAGCTGGCACTGATGGACACTGGCAGGTGGCACTGCTGGGGCTACACGGATCATCAGGGCACACTGATCATCAGTACTCTGATGATCTGTGTACATGTCCCCTCAGAGGAATGCCGATTACCGGCTCTCCTCTCCTCACAAGGTGACAGCTCGTGAGGAGAGAAATGCTGATAACCGGCATTTCCCTGTTTACATGTGATCAGCCATGATTGGACACAGCTGATCACATGACCAAGCCGACATCTTCGGCTCTTTCCGTTGATCGGTGATCCACGGGACAGAGTGCACTGTCGATCGCCGCGCCACACGCTCCTGGAGCCACGCATATGTTGTCATATGACATCCTCCCAGAACGAGAGAACCGCCTTGCGTCCGTCATTTTACTACATGGCGGGCAGGAGGCGGTTAAACACAAAAACAAAATGTATTAAATTGCAGCTTACCCGTTTTCAGATGTGGTGGCTGCATTTTTTTTTTAGGCTATACTCGGTTTATTTTCACCTGGTGATCTTAAGAGTAAGTCTGTTACTTTTCAACTTAACAAAACAAGATGAAGGGGTGCTTACAATGGTCAGCTTTTATTCATTTATGTCAAACCTTTATCCCAAAAGGGGAAAAAAAAAAAAAACCCATCTGCTGTAACTGCTTATAAAGTGTTAGCTGGAGTTCAGCTTCAATTTGTTCAGCTAAATCTGCTACTCTAAACAGTACCCTCTCCCCAGACTGACAATGCTGGTGTCCAAAGTTGTCTGCTCTATTACTTCATCCAGAATGTAGACACCCTAGGAGTATGTGATTGGCTGGATCACCAGGTTTAATAAAAGAAAATACACTTAATAAAGGAAACCTAATGCAACACCACATCTGGGGATTGGTAAGCTATGAAATGTCAAATTTTTGTTTTTGGGTTTAATACCGCTTTAAACAAGGCATTTTTGACACAGAAGGCCTCAACATGTACAGTGGGGCAAAAAAAAATATTTAGTCAGCCACCAATTGTGCAAGTTCTCCCACTTAAAAAGATTAGAGAGGCCTGTAATTAGCATCATAGGTAGACCTCAACTATGAGAGACAAAATGAGAAAAGAAATCGAGACAATCACATTGGCTGATTTGGAAAGTATTTATTCGCAAATTATGGTGGAAAATAAGTATTTGGTCACCTACAAACAAGCAAGATTTCTGGCTCTCACAGACCTGTACCTTCTTCTTTAAAAGGCTCCTCTGTCCTGCACTCATTACCTGTATCAATGGCACCTGTTTGAGGTTGTGGACAGGTGTCTTTTATACTGATAATAAGTTCAAACAGTCACACTCCAAACTCCACTATGGTGAAGACCAAAGAACTGTCGAAGGACACCAGAAACAAAATTGTAGACCTGCACCAGGCTGGGAAGACCGAATCTGCAATAGACAAGCAGCTTGGTGTCAACAAATCAACTGTGGGAGCAATAATTAGAAAATGGAAGACATACAAGACCACTGATAATCTCCCTCGATCTGGGGCTCCACGCAAGATCTCACCCCGTGGGGTCAAAAATGATCGCAAGAACGGTGAGCAAAAATCCCAGGACCACACGGGGGGACCTAGTGAATGACCTGCAGAGAGCTGGGACCAACGTAACAAAGGCTACCATCAGTAACACACTACACCGCCAGGGACCCAGATCCTGCAGTGCCAGACGTGTCCCCCTGCTTAAGCCAGTACATGTCCGGGCCCGTCTGAAGTTTGCTAGAGAGCATTTGGATGATCCAGAAGAGGATTGGGAGAATGTCATATGGACAGATGAAACCAAAATAGAACTGTTTGGTAGAAATACAACTCGTCGTGTTTGGAGGAGAGAGAATGCTGAGTTGCATCCAAAGAACACCATACCTACTGTGAAGCATGGACAGAATGAATGGGGCCATGTATTGTGAGATTTTCAGTGCAAACCTCCTTCCATCAGCAAGGGCATTGAAAATGAAACGTGGCTGGGTCTTCCAACATGACAATGATCCCAAACATACCGCCCGGGCAACGAAGGAGTGGCTTCGTAAGAAGCTTTTCAAAGTCCTGGCGTGGCCTAGCCAGTCTCCAGATCTCAACCCCATAGAAAACCTTTGGAGGGAGTTGAAAGTCTGTGTTGCCCAGCGACAGCCCCAAAACATCACTGCTCTAGAGGAGATCTGCATAGAGGAATGGGCCAACATACCAGCAACAGTGTGTGCCAACCTTGTGAAGACTTACAGGAAATGTTTGACCTCTGTCATTGCCAACAAAGGATATATAACAAAGTATTCAGTTGAACTTTTGATATTGACCAAATACTTATTTTCCACCATAATTTGCAAATAAATTCTTTCCAAATCAGCCAATGTGATTGTCTGGATTTTTTTTCTCATTTTGTCTCTCTCATAGCCAATTACAGGCCTCTCTCATCTTTTTAAGTGGGAGAACTTGCACAATTGGTGGCTACACTAAATACTTTTTTGTCCCACTGAATAAGGAACCAGCGTAATTAGATCACTACAAAAATTATTTTTTTGGGATGGACTAGTCCTTTAAGAATGCCTTCTATCAAAAACAAAAGTATAATTTGTTTAAAGAAAGAAAGAAAAAAAACAAACAAAAAAAAAAAACCTTACAAGTTTGTTTTCACATCTCCAATTCTCCCAACTGTCTTGAATCATTACATCTTGTGGAGGTACCTCTTTCCCAGGAAAATCTTAATTAAGGGAAGAAAAAATTAAATTCACAACCTAATCTTTCCTAATCGCAACGTGAGACATGAAAACCTTAACCTTATAAAGTACTTCATATTAATAAACACACTGTTGCAATAGCTTGCTGGCTTTGTTAAAACAGGGAAAAAAACATTCTAGACCAGCGGTTCTCAACCTGGGGGTCGCGACCCCTTTGGGGGTCGAACGACCATTTCCCAGGGGTCGCCTAAGACCATCGGAAAACATATTTCCGATGGTCTTAGGAACCGAGACACCGCTGCTCTGTCTCGCGATCTGTGGGCGGGATGATATGCTGCCCCTGTAACCTGGCCACACCTCCGGGATCACTCAACAGCTCCGCCTCCTTGCCGCTGATTGGCCACCGGAACTGTAGCTCAGGAGAGGCACACAGGCGGCCAATCACCGGCGAGGAGGTGGAGCTTGGAGAGGAGGAGCCGAGCGGCAGAGCGCGCAGATCGAAGAAGATCGAGGGAGCTGCAGGACCGAGTGAAGAGGAGAGAGGCCAGAGAAGGAGGACAGCTGACAGGTAAGTGGAAATTTTGCTGCTGCAGGCTGTAGATGGGAGAGGGAGAGAGCGAGCCCAGGCTGGAGCAGGGGTCAGCAAGGTAAGTATCATTGGTGTCAGTGGGAGGAATAGTGCCCCATCATTTGTGTCACTAATACCAACGATGGGGCACTATTCCTCCCCCCACTGACACCAACGATGGGGCACTATTCCTCCCCCCCACTGACACCAATGATAGGCACTATTCCTCCCCCCACTGACACCAACGATGGGGCACTATTCCTCCCACTGACACCAACGATGGGGCACTATTCCTCCCCCCACTGACACCAACGATGGGGCACTATTCCTCCCCCACTGACACCAACGATGGGGCACTATTCCTCCCCCCACTGACACCACCACGATGGGGCACTATTCCTCCCCCCACTGACACCAACAATGGGGCACTATTCCTCCCCCCACTGACAGCAACGATAGGGCACTATTCCTCCCCCCACTGACACCAACGATGGGGCACTATTCCTCCCCCCACTGACACCAACGATGCGGCACTATTCCTCCCCCCACTGACACCAACGATGCGGCACTATTCCTCTTACTGACACCAACGATGGGGCACTATTCCTCCCACTACTGACACCAATGATAGGCACTATTCCTCCTCCCACTGACACACCAACGATAGGCACTATTCCTCCCCCCACTGACACCAACGATAGGCACTATTCCTCCCCCCACTGACACCAACGATAGGCACTATTCCTCCCCCCACTGACACCAACGATGGGGCACTATTCCTCCCCCCACTGACACCAACGATAGGCACTATTCCTCCCCCCCACTGATACCAATGATGGGGCACTATTCCTCCCACTGACACCAATGATGGGCACTATTCCCCTCACTGATACCAATGATGGGGCACTATTCCTCCCACTGACACCAATGATGGGCACTATTCCCCTCACTGATACCAATGATGGGGCACTATTCCTCCCACTGATACCAATGATGGGGCACTATTCCTCCCAATGATACCAATGATGGGGCACTATTCCTCCCACTGACACCAATGGCGGGACACTATTCCTCCCACTGATACCAATGATGGGACACTATTCCTCCCACTGACATCAGTGATGGGGCACTATTCCTCCCACTGATACCAACGATGGGACACTATTCCTCCCACTGATACCAATGATGGGGCGCTAGTCCTCCCACTGATACCAATGATGGGGCACTATTCCTCCCACTGCAAAATTACAGTTCTGAAGTAGCAACGAAAATAATTTTATGGTTGGGGGTCACCACAACATGAGGAACTGTATTAAGGGGTCGCGGCGTTAGAAAGGTTGAGAACCACTGTTCTAGACAATGTCAGCATAAAGCAATTTGTAGTAACTCACATTAATAGAATAAACCAAATTCCGAATCGCTGTGAGCTAGAGAACATTTCTTACATGATTGAGAGAATTTACTTGAATGCTACAGTATATCTGGTATTTAACATACACTGTAAAAATATAAAAGCATGCAGTCCTGTCACCAGTCTTACCGTGCATCCACTGGGGATGATTTTCATTCAGCACAGGGTCTGTCTGCAAGCAAAAGAGAGAGGGAGCGAGCCTAGGAATGCGATTGTTCAGTAAGGATTCTTGAAATGGGGGGCTGAAAGGTACAAACATGTTTAAATTAAGTAATGTTTCATTTGGCATAATAAAATAAATGCATCAGAAATACATAAGCCTAGAACCACTTTAAAAACCTGAGGACCTTGGGAGCAGGAGATATGGCTAAAAAAAAATAACAGCTTTTAGGGCATATCTTCTATGTCCTTCTCTCTTCAGTTGTCAAAATGTAGCAGCTGCTGTGTATAATGACACGTACAAATAGTCTGCAGTTGTCACTGAGTAATCACAATGCAATAATTACTACATGGTATTCATGGTTTCATTTATACAGTCATTTATTGGCAGCCCTGTATTTCTGTCAGATAAATGCACCACTTCATCCAGACAATTGTTACAATTACAAATGTTTAGGCATGTTTAGGCATTCTCATGTTTACTTCTTTTGTTTGTATTGGTATGA